CTTCTGGGTGCCACGCTCTGCGTGGGGCACAGTTCTCTGAAACTGCCCTGGTGGTGTTGCCTCTTTCTTAGAGAAATGACAATCCCAGTTAGACCAGAATGGAGATCCTCTCTTTGGTTTCTAAAAGAGAAGTGTGTTCCGGAAACAGAGACTGGGGCAAGGAGCTTGTGGTGGGATGGGTGAGGTTTGAGATGGAGAGAGAGGGTGGGGAGGTAGAGTGAGCATGGCTTTACAGCCAGGATGCTACCCCTAACTAGCTGTGCAGCCCCAGCACGTTGCTGAGCCAGGGGTTCGTCATCCCAACTTTGAACAGTTGGTATCTGCCTCGGGATCGGTGGGAAGGGAGTATCTGGTAACATCCATAAGATGCTTAGTACAGGGCTTGACACGTATTAAGTTCTTGCTATGTGGTGGTCCTTATTCAGCGTATGGTAACTGCATTGTAGAAGGGAGATGTCGAAAGGGGCTTTTCGCCAGTCTGCAGCTGTTCTGAGGTACCTGGTGATGCCTGTCTTTTCCCTGCTCCCCAGGCCAGCAGGTGGCCATTAAGAAGATCCCTAACGCTTTTGATGTGGTCACCAACGCCAAGCGGACACTCAGGGAGCTGAAGATCCTCAAACACTTCAAGCATGACAACATTATCGCCATCAAGGACATCTTGAGGCCCACTGTACCCTATGGCGAGTTCAAATCTGTGTAAGGAGCAGGGATGGGAGAGAAAGGCAGAGGTGGATCTGAAGTTCCTAATGTAAGGCAGGCTGGGAAAATTCTTATGATTCCAGGACCATTGTCCCTGGCTTTGCCTGGGACAACTGTGGTTGCTTAAGAAGAGGCAGATGTTAGTGTTTTATAGAATCTTTACTTGTAGGATGGCCAGCGTTCATCAGTTCATTCATTCGTACATTCATTACATTTGTAATGTTCATACAGTAACCAAATTTTTATTCTCATACCAGATAATCTCGGTCAGTCATAGAACACTGTCTTAATAAACTGGGCAAGCCTTCAGTTTTCCCAGTTTTTCAGGCAGCCATACAAAAAAATGGAGATGGCCCCAAAACCAAATCTATCAGCCAGCCCTGGTTTAGTCCAACCCCATCTTTTCTTTGATGGGGAAACTAGAGAGAGGAAAGTGATTTCACTTCGCTGAAGAGTTCAAGGAACTGTTGGAGAAGATCTGGAATCTTCATATCGTGCCACTGGCCTGTGCAGAGCATGAAGATGAGACCATTACCTGTCAAGCTGGGAGGGCGTAGGGAGGCTGGGGCTGGCGCTGGCGCTGGCACGTGGGCGAGGTGGCCATGCCTGTCTCTCTTGTCCCCTCTAGCTATGTGGTCTTGGACCTGATGGAGAGCGACCTGCACCAGATCATCCACTCCTCCCAGCCGCTCACCCTGGAGCACGTGCGCTACTTCCTGTACCAGCTGCTCCGGGGCCTCAAGTACATGCACTCGGCTCAGGTCATCCACCGCGACCTCAAGCCGTCCAACCTGTTGGTGAATGAGAATTGTGAGCTCAAGATTGGTGACTTCGGCATGGCCCGTGGCCTGTGCACCTCGCCCGCTGAGCACCAGTACTTTATGACCGAGTACGTGGCCACACGCTGGTACCGTGCTCCTGAGCTCATGCTCTCACTGCACGAGTACACGCAGGCCATCGACCTGTGGTCCGTGGGCTGCATCTTCGGTGAGATGTTGGCCCGGCGCCAGCTCTTCCCCGGCAAAAATTATGTACACCAGCTGCAGCTGATCATGATGGTGCTGGGCACCCCGTCGCCGGCCGTGATCCAGGCTGTGGGGGCCGAGAGGGTGCGAGCCTACATCCAGAGCCTGCCCCCCCGCCAGCCTGTGCCCTGGGAGACGGTGTACCCCGGAGCTGACCGCCAGGCCCTGTCCCTGCTGGGGCGCATGTTGCGTTTCGAGCCCAGTGCCCGCATCTCCGCGGCTGCTGCCCTTCGCCACCCCTTCCTGGCCAAGTACCACGACCCTGACGATGAGCCTGACTGTGCCCCGCCTTTTGATTTTGCCTTTGACCGTGAGGCGCTCACTCGGGAGCGCATTAAAGAGGCCATAGTGGCTGAGATTGAGGACTTCCATGCACGACGCGAGGGCATCCGCCAGCAGATCCGCTTCCAGCCGTCCCTGCAGCCTGTGGCCAGTGAGCCTGGCTGCCCTGATGTTGAGATGCCCAGTCCCTGGGCTCCCAGTGGGGACTGTGCCATGGAGTCCCCTCCCCCAGCTCCACCGCCGTGTCCCGGCGCCGCACCAGACACCATCGACCTGACCCTGCAGCCGCCCCTGCCCGCCAGTGAACCAGCCCCTGCAAAGAAGGAGGGTGCCATCTCCGACAACACCAAGGCGGCCCTCAAAGCTGCCCTGCTCAAGTCCTTGCGGAGCCGGCTCAGAGGTGCCTTGCGGAGGCAGCGGCTGGCCAGGGGGTGGGGTTGCAGAGGGGTGCTCCCAGCTCGGACAGGCCGTAGGCTCTTACCTTTTCCCTGCCGACTTCTCTGCAGATGGCCCCAGCGCTCCTCTGGAAGCTCCTGAGCCTCGGAAGCCGGTGACCGCCCAGGAGCGCCAGCGGGAGCGGGAGGAGAAGCGGCGGAGGCGGCAGGAGCGAGCCAAGGAGCGGGAGAAGCGGCGGCAGGAGCGGGAGCGCAAGGAGCGGGGGGCCGGGACCTCTGGGGGCCCCTCCACTGATCCCCTGGCAGGGCTGGTCCTCAGTGACAATGATCGCAGTCTGCTGGAGCGCTGGACTCGCATGGCCCGGCCCCCAGCCCCCACGCCAGCCCCGGCGCCAGCACCAGCACCAGCCCATGCCCCGGTCCCTACCCCCAGCCCGGCCCGGCCCGGCAGCCCTCCTGCTGCCCCGCCAGCACAACCTGTGGGCTCCACCCCTGGTCCTGCACCGCAGCCTGCCTGCCCACCCCCTGGCCCCGCTCCCCACCCTGCCAGTCCTCCCGGGCCTGTCCCTGGCCCTGCTCCACTCCAGACCACCCCCTCTAGTCTTCTGGCTCCCCAGTCACTTGTGCCACCCCCAGGGCTCCCTGGCCCTAGTGCCGTAGGTGTTCTGCCTTACTTCCCATCCGGCCCACCCCCTCCGGACCCCAGAGGGGCCCCTCAGGCTTCCACCACAGAATCCCCTGACGTGAACCTGGTGACTCAGCAGCTGTCCAAGTCACAGGTGAGGCGCTGTGGGGACACCTGGATCTGGGGCCCAGGAAAATGGGCTTGGGAAGTCCTTGCTGTTTGGCAGGGACGGGGTTGGGCGAGGCTGTGGTGCCTCCTTAGTCCGTGAGAACTGAGTGGCAGATGGGGCTTTATCTCTGAACTTGGCCTCTTGCTCTTAGAAGGAGCACAGTGCCAGTGAACAGGTCTCTGAGAGACAAATGACATGCTTCCTAGGAAGGGCCTGGCCTGGAGACCAGCCCTCGACCAGTGCCCATTGATTGTCTCGGCTGACGCTGTCACCTGAGGCTGTCCAGGCAGAGTCCCTGGCAGCATCGGGACAGACTTACAGACTTCTGTCTGCTCTTGGTAGTGCCTGGCTTGTAACCTGCCATCTTCCTTTGCAGGTGGAGGACCCCTTGCCCCCGGTCTTCTCCGGCACTCCGAAGGGCAGTGGGGCCGGCTATGGTGTTGGCTTTGACCTGGAAGAGTTCCTGAACCAGTCTTTTGACATGGGCGTGGCCGATGGGCCCCAGGATGGGTAAGATGGCTGGACCAGGCTTCTGGAATGGGCCTGAGGGTAGGGTTTCCTGGTACAGGAGGAGCTTGCCTGTGGGATGGGCAGGGAGCCAGCCTAGGCTAACAGTGCCTCTCCCTTCCACTCTCCCTGCAGCCAGGCGGACTCAGCCTCCCTCTCAGCTTCCCTGCTTGCTGACTGGCTGGAGGGCCACGGCATGAATCCTGCGGACATTGAGTCCCTGCAGCGAGAGATCCAGATGGACTCCCCGATGCTGCTGGCTGACTTGCCGGACCTCCAGGAGCCCTGAGGCCCACAGCCTGGGCCTTGCTGCGGGGGGTGGACCCCGCGACAAGACTTACAGGAACGTTTCCGAGGGCTGGAGCCCTGGGCCCGGAGGTGGAAGCTCAGCTTTGATGATTCCGCAGGTTCATCTCAGACACACTCTGCAGCCTTAAGCAGCCACCTGAGCCACCGCCAAGCCATGGCAGGATCAGGAAACCTCTACTCCCTGAGCGATCCTTTTCAGTATTGTATTTTTATTATTATTATTATTGTTATTAATATTATGACACGATCTTTTTGCCATCAAAACGAGGCCTGTGAAATATAAGGTTCCCTTTAGTGCCTAACTCTAGGTGTCTTGGAGTTGAGGGCAGGGTGTGGTCAGTAGGGGGGCAAGGAGGAGCCTGGTCCTCGCATTTGGGGGCCAAGCAAACCCATTTACACGCACAGCAGCCAAAGCCGGTTCATTCAGATCCTGAGGTTTTATTGAGTTTTTCACTCCCCACCTGCTTCCAGCCCCGCAGAGGTTATCCTCTGTCTCCCCAACACAGTCAAACCTCAGCCCTGGGGCAGGTGGGGGGACTTCATATCCTTGCCTGTCTCGGCAGGAGCTGTTTTCGAGCGGCATGTGATAGCTGTGGGGAAATTCGATTTTGGCATGAGGTGTGGGGCCTGGGACAGGCGGGAGGGGGCAGCGGCGTAGGACTGTGAGTTGGGGCTGCGGGCCCATGGTGCTCACCACTGGGGAATGAGTTGGCGGGAGGGAGGCAGAGGATGGGAGATACTGAGGACAGCAGGGTGGGCTGCGGGTGGGGTGTGGCTTTGGTGGCCACACGCGGGTGGCCTGGCACACGCCACGGCTATTGGTCAGACTACGGCAGCCCAAGCTGGCGCGCTAGGGGGGCTCCAGACGGAGCAGTCCGCAGCAAGGGAGCTGGCATAGCCTCAGAGAGCGGCTCCCGGCTCTCTGCCTTGTGGGGAGGGCAGAGGCAAAGAGGAGTCTCGCAGAGCCCAGGCAGGTCCAGGAAGCCCGGGGAAAGCGGCTCGCCGCGTGGCCCCAGGTGAGGGGAATGGAGGCCTGGGTTTGAGATGGACACCGTGGGTGTGACAGGACCCGCTGGGGCTAGAGCTGCAAGGACCCCTGGGAGAAGCAGGTGCTAAGAGAGCAGTGGGCAGGGGTGGGGGTGCCGGGGTGCAGAGGGAGCACTCATGGAGAGCCGGAGCAGCCAGGGGAGGCTTGGGGCCTGACGGGGGCCAGCCCCTCAGGCCCTGCGGATTTTCATCTCGGTGCGCTTGAGGGAGTAGTAGAAGCCCTTCCACTGGGCCCAGTTGATGCCATTTGCGTAGGAGAGGTGGGAGCCACCCAGGTAGAAGCCGTTGAGGTTGGCAAAGTGGCAGCTGCGGAACCAGAAGGCTCCCGAGGAGAGGGCGGCACAGTTCTGCACAAAGAGGTCCTGGTCCCGGTCAAAGGTGGAGAACTTCTGGCCGCTGTGGTAGGACAGGGAGTCGCCTGGCAAGAGGGGAGGAGGGATGGGCTGCTGAGGCGGGGAGCCAGCCCCAGCTGGCCAGGGTGGGGGATGGATGACGGGCAGGAGTGACGCGATGGGAGGTGTCATGTGGCAGCTGGCGGGATGGGGCGCCCTCCCTGAGCCGGCCGCTGGGTTGCCACGCTTCGGCATGAGAAGCAGCTGCTACCCCCGGGGCTGCCCAGGGCGAGCGGACGCAGCTTCTCCAGGGGCCCAGGCCCGAGCTGGGTGGAGGCCGGCACAGCCCCTCCAGGGGGGACCGGAGGGGGGTCGGGGAACCAGCGGACCATGCCAGCCCTGCCTTCCCCACCGACGCCCCCTCATTAGGCCGGCAGCTGGGCATACCTGCCCCGCCGTCCTCGAAGCCTGCCACGTAGAGGGTGTAGCCGTCCTCCTCCGCACTGACCGCGTTGGGCGAGATGGAGAATTCAGCGTACTTGGCGGCAGCTGTGTTGTTCTCAAAGTCCTCCAGGTCCACCCGCAGCTCGTACTTCTGCTTCAGCGTCAGGAGGTGCAGGTTCTGCAGCCCTGGGGAGGGCGGAAGGGAGAGACAGCTGGTCAGCGGAGCCCTGGCTCGGGGCAGCCCCTGGCCCCTGGGACACCCCCCATCCCCATCTTACCCAGCCAGTACTCCCCGTCGGCACGGCCGAAGCCCAGCTTGTAGTCGTTCCAGCCCCGGAAGAAACTGACTGAGCCATTGAATCGCTTCTGGAAAACCTGGAGCAGAGAGGACAGGCCTGGACGATCAAGAGTCCAGGGGGCGGGAGCCTCACCTAGGCAGGGGCCCTGGGATGCTGAGGGGTTTTGTTAAAAGACCAAGCTGGGGCCTAAAACAAGGCCTGTGCCGGCCCCAGGCCCCTCAGTGAGCAGCTTCTGGGCGCCAGGAAAAGGTTAAGGGGGTGGGGGGTGGTTCTAGAGTTCTGGCACCTGGCAGTGCTTCCCGGGGTGGGCTGTGTGACCTTGCGCAAATTACTTCACCTCTCTGGGTTTCGGTTTCTCTGTAAAGTGCACCTCTCTCCCTGAGGCTTTGAGGATACAGGCACTAACCTGCCCCCAGCACCCAGAGTTCAGCCATGGAACAGCTCCCCAGCTCTGCTGTGGGGGTCGTGATCCCCATTTAGAAATGGAAAAACAGAAGCGCGCAGAGAAGTGTGGTCACACGGCGGGGACCAGAACCGGGCCTCCATTCCCCCTGCCCACTCACCGTCCACTTGCCACCCTCGGTGGTCATGTCACAGAAGACAGGCACAGGCACACTGGGCCCCGAGGGGTAGATGAGGTACACGCCATCCTCCTGGTAGCCCTGGGCGTAGATGTCATCGCAGTCCAGGGGCTGCTGAAGGCAAGACTTCTCCAGAGCTGCGGGCGGGGGCGGGGAGGGTGAGGAGAAGGGGACCAAGACACAGTGCCCTGTGGTTGGCTTCCAGCCCTAGCATACCAAGAAATCACACGAAATTCCACCCTGGGGTGGGGGATGCTTGTGCCAAGAAATCACACGAGATTTCCCCCCCACTCCGGGGTCGATGCTCAAACGTCCTCTCCACCTGCCCTGTGGTAGAGAGGAGGGGGTGGCATCCTGCAGGGGCTCAGCCCTGAGGCCTGACTCCCAGAAATGAGGGCTCGGAGTTGCCTCTCCTCCCCCAGCCTGCTGGCCAGGCTGCTTACCATCTCCCCGGATCCCGGAGACCTGGGGGGCGCAGGGGGGCGTGGAGAGAAGCAGCAGCAGCGGCGGCAGGGCCAGGAGGGCCTGGGACAGGACAACAGGGTCACCTCACCTCACCGCACTGACCCCACCCTCGCCAGCCCCGGAGCCCTCGGTGGTCTCTGCACTTGTCCCTTGTGCCAACTACCCCCTGCCGGGAATCCCTTTCTCTGCCCTTGGGCCTCTCTTTCCCTGACTGAGACTCTCCTAGTTTAAGAGTTTCAACTGGATCACGAGAATCCCCTGTGCCTTCACAGCCGCCCTCTCTGGTAAGGATCCTCTTCCCGGAGTGGACTCAGGCCCCCCGATGCCATGAGTCCCCCAGGCCCAGGCCCAGTACCTTCATGCTGCCAGTTGAGCTCAGAGTGGCTGGGTGTCTGCTGCCCCAGACTGCACCCCAGACTGCACCCGCCCAGAGTTATATGCTGGGCCCTGGCCAGCCGCCCTGGCCCCGCCCCCTGTCGCTGCAGAGCCCCCCTCTCCCCTCCTCCGGCACTGAACCAGCATCTGCTTCCACAATCAGGGGGGCCGGGGGAGGTGGGGCCCAGGCCAAGGGACCACCTGCATCTCATTAGGCCCATCAGGGGCAGAGCGCTGGGGATTTTGCTCCCTGCTGAGTCACAGGGCTCCCTGGAGCCCTTCTACCACCCGTCCCCTGGACCTGTGGACCCCCTGGGACCCCCAACCCATCCTCTGCTTCTTCATGCCTCCCCCTGCTGCCAGATGTCTGTTTACTTTCTCCTCCCCTGGCCTGTGTTTCATCAGCCTTTGGGGGAAGGCTAAGTAGCAGTGGGGAGGGTGTGGGTTTGCCTGGGTTCTGCGGAGGGGAGGCCCGTTCTGGGGGAGCAGAGGGCTGGGGAGACCGCTTCAGAGCTCCTGATGTGGGAGCCTGTCTGGGGCTGGAGGGGGATAAGGGCAGCAGGGGCCAGGCAGTCTCCTGGCAAGGACTGGGACATTTCTGAGCCATGAGCACAGCCTGCAGGCGTCCAACTGCTGTCTGCCCCAGCTCGAGCCAGGGCCCCTCTCCAGCCCCCTTCCCGCCCCCCTTGCTCTGGCCCCTCAGGCTCCCTCCCTTGCCCTCCCCCAGAGTTCCCTGGTGATGTGTCTGGCTTACACACCACGGAGCGTGGGGCCCCCCTCGTTTCTCTTCATCTCACCCCTCGTTCTCTCAACCCCACCTCAGACTCCCCACTAGACCCCTCTTAAGTAATGTCCCATTTTCTCAGCCCTGAATGCCCATCTTTTGCCCCCTGCCACCACCGAGCCAGGGTCCCCCCCTGTCTGCCTCCGCATTGTCCCTGAGGCCCATCCACTCCTTTCTCTACTTAGGTTCCGGGCCTCCTTAGAGCCCTCTCAGGGCCAAGGCTCAGTTTCTCACCTTGGACTTGAGAGGAATTTTAAGTCCGACTCACACCTACCTTAAGGACCTTATCCCAGCCGGCTTGTGACTCATAAAGTACAATCTAGCCACACCGGATTTCTCGCCATGGATCCCCCCGCCTGCCCGCCTTCGCCGTCTCAGTTGTTCCCAGGCAGCCCACCTGTTGGTCTTCTCTGCTTGGTCGTGAGTGCAAATGGGCAGGGTCAGCGTCATTCCTGCACGCTTCGCACCGTCCCAGAGCCTGGCATGGGCACTGATCCACTGATCAAATGTCTTTTGAGCACCTACCTTGTGCTGGCTGCTGGGGATCCGGTTTCCGCCCCTCGGGAGGGACAAAAACAGGCATTAGACACTTCATTGCAAACATAACGTGTGCTGTGCCAGGCCCTCTGTGGAATGGATGAGCAAGCGAAGTGTCCAGAGCCACGAAGGAAGAAAGAAAGAAAGTGGCTCTGGCTCACGTCCCCTCTCCTCATCCTTAAGTCAATAAGCCCCGGCTCTCAGGGCTTGGTTCTGTAGTTGCCGGTCTCCATAGTTGTGGCACGTCCTGCGGGTTCTGGAGCCAGGTTGCCAGTGTTCAAATCCAGGCTGTGCCACCTGCTAGCTGGCAGGGCGGGGGGGGGGGGTGGGGACCTCGGACAAGTTCTCTCTCTGCTCTGTGCCTCACTTTCTCCCTCTGTAAAATGAGGATAGTCACAGTATCTCCTCCAAAGGGTTGTAGTAAGGACGAAGGACTACATAGCCTACAATGCACAACTATGCCTACGACCAGTAACTAATACGAGGCATCGCACCATCAGAAACCTCGAGATTGTTCCTTACACGAAGGGATTGTCTTCCATGTGGTTTTTATCCTTGTCTGTGGAAGAGGTAGTTGCCTGCCTCTCCAACCCCGAGTTCCCTCAGTGCTAAGTGGTAAGCCTGATTGTCCAGCCTCCATGGGTGGGGCCCCATGTCTTGGCTAAGAAATTGTAAACAGAAGTTTTGTAAAGGTGGGGAGCTATTCCCTCTTCTTCCTGCTGTTGGTCCTATTGCTGGGCACGATGGCTGGAGCTCCAGCCGCCACCCTGAACCGTGAGGATGAGGCCCCATCAAGAGGTGGTAGAAGGTGTGTCTGTCTGGCTGGCTCAATTGGTAGAGCATCTCTTTTTTTTTTAAGATTTTATTTATTTATTTGACAGAGAGTGATGCCAAGTAGGCAGAGAGGCAGGCGGTGGGGTGGGGGTGGGGGAAGCAGGCTCCCTGCCGAGCAGAGAGCCCGACATGGGACTCGATCCCAAGGCCCTGAGATCATGATCTGAGCTGAAGGCAGACACTTAACCCACTGAGCCGTCCAGGTGCCTGCATCTGACTCGATCTCAGGCTCCCGAGTTTGAGCTCCACGTTGGGGCTAGAGATTACTCAAAGGAAAAGAGAGGGGGCGGGTGCTCAGGGAGGAGCTGGGTCCCTCAGGACCTTGTGGAGTGAGCCCTCTGGACTGCCCTTCCGTAGGCCTCACTTACATGGAAGAGAAAGAAACTTTTATCTAGCTTAAGCCTCTGTTGTTTGTCCCCTGTTCCACCCAGCTGAATCTAATCCTAATACATCGCTCCTTTCAGCAAAGGCCTACTAATTTTAGCACTGGCTACAAATAGGAAAATGATGAAAAAACCAGTCATCAAAACAAATAATAAAACGTGTAGACTATAACTAATAAACAAATGTAGGAACACGAGAGAGAATTAAGCAATGAGGGATCAATCACATTTTGCCTGTTAGTTGCTTTTTTTTCCCTCTAACTTCCCCAGAACGTATGTAGGTGTGGCAAAGCAGGCGGTTGGCCCTCTGGGTGTGCTTGGGAACTAGTTTAACTCTTCAGGGGAAGAAAGAGGTTTGGTAACACAAGCCTGAGAGTCCAGAACACCTCTTTGAAGATGCTGTCCCCTGAAAAACTGAAAAAATTACATGGACTAGTCAGTGGCCATATTTGTTGGCTGCCCGTGGAGGGAACCTTCCTGCATTTTGGGGTCCCCGCCCCCAGCTGGAATGCAGGGGCTTGCTCTCCCAGGCTTGCTTGCAGGTGTTGAAGGCACATGACCTCAGTGTAGCCAATCAAATGTGTGGCCCTGGGCTTCATTTGGGGAGATAAATGATAAGAGGCAGGAGAATGAAGAACTCGCTCTTGGGGTGGTAGGGAGCCAGAGGCGTCTGGCTTCTAGGTTCTCTGGCTGGTTGGTGGTGACTTTGCAAGCACAGTGCTGAGTCATATTGGCTTCGGCTGCAAAGCCCTCAGCTTGGTTCTCCACTCTGGGCAATTGCTTTTCTCTGCCCACGATCTTGATAAATCCACGATCCCATGATCTTGGTAAATTGGGAGTGTTCGAAGGGAACTCAAGGAGGGGAGAGGGGGTGTCTCCCAACCCAGGCTAAGTGAGGGGGCTCCGAGAAGGATGGGGCTGTTTGCTAGGAGAGAGACAGGCTGCTGCTGCAGCAGGGGCCGGGGGGAGGCGGGGGGGGGGGGGGGCTGTGGGGAAGGGGGGGGGGCTGGCGGGGCCACTGGCCGGACAAGGATGTGTCCTTTGAGCACCTGCTAGGACACATCGGGCACACTTTACCCCTGATATAGGCAGCAGCGAGCAGACACAACCTTCAGCGGTCCTGGAGCTACAGAGGAAAAACAGTGGCAAACAAGGGGAATGATGACCATCAGTGAAAAAAAAAGTGGGGTGGGGGCAGGGTGGAGAAGAAGGTCATAGTGAGAAGGGATGATGGCTGGCTAGGGGTCCACGGTCCAGCATAAGCTTTCGTGGTGGAGGACACATCCCTCACTCCCCATATTTCCTTCCTTGTAAAGGGCGAAATGAGGGATTTGGTGTGTCTCCCCACTTTTTTGGGTAGTTTGGGGCAACTTCAGTGAACAGAGCTCAGCAGGTTGGAGAGGGGGAAGGTATCCAATGCCAGGCTAAGACGTTTGGAGCTGAGCCCGAGGCCTTTGGAGTTAGGGTATGTTGAGAAATGATCTTTTGTCTCCTGTCCACCTGGGATTTGTGTAACTGGGGTGCTTGGCTTTATTTTGCTATGTGAGAGGTGTGTATGCCGTACTCCAGGCAAAAAGCATACAGATAAAAGGTTGGTGTGTTTTTTTTTTTAAATGAATGCATGCACAGAGTTGGAAAAACAGAGTGCTGAAAAGTCCTTTATTGCAAAACAGCAGTGCCCACCCTGGTGTTTCTGGGGGTTGGGTCTTTTCTGGCTCCTTCTGTGGCCACTTGGGGGCTGTGTCCTCATTTGAGAATGTGCAGCTGTGTTACCCCTTTTTTCATTTTTTTCTTCTTCTCCATTTTCTCTGTTCTCTCTCTCTCTCTCTCTTTAAAGATATTTATTTATTTATTTATTTGACAGAGAGAGATCACAAGTAGGCAGAGAGGCAGGTGGGGGTGGGGTGGAAGCAGGCTCCTTGCTGAGCCGAGAGCCCGACGCGGGGCTCAATCCCAGGACCCTGAGATCATAACCTGAGATGAAGGCAGAGATTTTAACCCACTGAGCCAATCAGGCGCCCCTCTGATCTCTTTCTAATAATTTTATTAGTTGGCTGCTGGATCTCCCAAATCGATTCTTATTTGTTCTTATTTTTTGCCTGACATTTTCCATCTCTGTGTTTTTAATTCTGATATCTGGAGCACAGCCTTCAGGTCCAACATTCCTATTGACTAAAAAATTAGCTTTCATGTTATTTTTATTTTCCAGTTCCTTCTTGTTTTAAGGATTTCTTGGGAGGTATAATTTACATATGGTAAAATCTATCCATTGTAAGTGTATGGTACAACAATTGTGCCTCTAAAAAAATAGACTTTATTTTTTAAAAATTTTTATTATTTTTAATTATTATTTATTTTAAAAATTATTTTTATTATTTTTTTATTATTCTTATTTCTTTCAAATATTTTATGTATTTATTTATTTGACCCAGAGAGAGAGAGAGAGCGAGAGAGCGCAAGCAGGGGTAGAGACAGAAGGAGAGGGAGAAGCA